ATTTCTCAGTGTTGTTTACCTTGATGCAGATGTCTGGAACGTGTGCTCCTCACAAACTAGAGTGAGATTTTGCAATCTGCATCTAATTTCAACTCACCATGCTCATTGCTGTTTGCACTATTCCTCCCTCCAACATTTTAACACTTGTCTGCTGACCAAATAACAGATTATGCTTTAACAGCAAGACATGTTTGGTTTGCATTGGCAGGAAGTTAACACACCTCTCACCTCTCGCTGGAAGAAAATCAATTAACAGCAATATGTGCTCATTTTAATGTCAGTGTGTGCCCATCTCCAGTGGCTCCCTGTGGCCACTTTACTTTTTTTAATTCTCCTGAACTTTAACAGCAGTTAAAGCAGATTTCATCAGATTTCAATTATTTAAAAAAAAGTATTTAGCAATTGAAGGAAAAAACTGGTTGACTGTTGGCTCGCTGACATGCCTGATATTAAAATGCAACTGGATGATTTCTTTTTTACTTTTAGTATTCTTAAAGTTATTATCCAAGTAAGATACTTGGATTTTAATTCATTTGCACAAAGTCAGACTGTCAACATTTTAAGAATAGGTCTAACAGATATAATTACTTCATTCTATTTCTACAATTTCATAATGTCTGTATTATTGTTTTGTGACTCTATGCAGATTGTTGTTGGTGAAAAACTGCCGATAAATGGCTCTGCTGTTACTAAAGCTTGCAGACCCCAGTACTAGGAGCTGAAAAATAAGACATCAAGCACAAAACCTGAAAGTTAATTATATCGTCCTACCTGCTGTTATGAAGGACTGCAGCATCACTTTGCACAATGTGGTGAAAAAGCACTGACAGAGGTAAATGAATGAAATTGGGCCAAAGTAGGCGGAGTTAGCAGTGAGTCAGCTTAGCTTAAAAAAGGCTGAAAGTAGAGGGAAAGCCTGGCTTCCAGGTCAAGACAGCCAAGTGTACAAGTGAAAGAAATGACAAACAATTTCTTCATCAGTGGGCAGAGCCAGGACAGACATAATATGAAGCTATACTAATTTGCTGCAAGTTCCAGCTACACATTAACCACACTGACACTTCTATTGTGCCTCTCATTTTACTCTTGGCCCGGAAGCAAAGAAGTTTAAATGTCATTACTGTCATTGACGGTTTAATTTTCATTCTGGATTATGAAGCTGCAGTACATTTAAGATAGGATAAGATAACCTTTATTAGTCCCACACATGGGAAATTTGTTCTGTTACAGCAGAAAGTGGACAGTGCAAAGTTATATAGCAAAAATTAGAGAACATTACCTGATAGGTTACACGTCTTAAACAACACCATAAAATAGAATTTAATAGCTAAAGAGTGAGAGCACTAGGTGACTTGTTATGTTGTGAAAGGATATTCATATTTTTCACTACAATGACCCCTGGCAAGCTGACAGCTGTGCATGCTGATGCAGCCTGAGCTCAAATATAAATCGACACAGTTCAGCATCGACCTGGGTTCAGTTTAAGCTCACCTGCATGCGGTTCATGGCCTCTCGGATCTGGTCCAGGTGATGGGCAGAGCTAAGTGCCTCCAGGCGGATGTCCGTCAACTTGAGCTCCTTCTCCCTCAGCTCGTTCTTCAGCTGGAGGATGATTTCTGCCTCAGCCTCAGTGCATTCACATAGCCTGAAAGTGGGTTCATACACAGGGAGGAGGAGGGCTCACCTTTAGGGTTACACCAAGCACGTACACCGAGTCTGGAGAATGTGCACTTTCAGGGGGAACAAGAAAGCTGAAGTTCAAGCTGAGTCAGTCTGGGCTTCATATGGGTGAACAAGGAACGTTAAGCACTTGTACAGCAAATCCTTCCCA